ATTTGAAAATATGGAATTTACTAAGAACTTTTATCCTAAATTCGGTAATTATATCCAAATTTGAGTCATCGCCTACGCATTCTACCAAGCACTTTTCTCCACCCAGATTGATGAAATAATGTCCATCATAAATAACAAAATAAAGATCAAATCAAAACAATAGAGAAAAGAGATAGTCACTGCCCAAGGGCAAACTCTATCTTCTTCAAGGTCCCACAACTGCTCTTATCACCATAAAACATAAAATTAGCTTGGATGATCTGACTTTCATCAAGTTCTAGTAAACAATTGAAAGTTAGATTTTTATCAATTCCTCAAATGCATAAACCCTAGTATAAAACAAAACTAACTCCCACCACTTTATTAACTTGGATTATTTCAACCAAATGTGAGAAACATGCCCAAGAATGTCAATATTGAATCCTAACGGATGCGATTGACCTCTCTGGGACCAACCTGTCAAAGAACCCTGCTTACATTTCTAGACTGCGCTCTAGACCTTTCTGTTTGAATTTTTGTGCAACAAAATTTAGACCAGTGTTTAAATATAAACCTTTTATAATCATATCCATCTTACGCCCAAAGTCTAGTACTACCTTTGGAACTATTTCATAAAACGACATCCACTTAGCAACTTCTTAGCACACCATGGCTATTTAACTTCTATCCAAGGTAATAATTAACAATAAATAAATATTCTTTGTCCATTATATACCATGCATTGTCTACTACATTCTTCTATACTATATGCTAAAAGAATAATTTATTGAAAACACGGCACACTCTTTATTCAAAATAATATTATTTATTTATATTTATACTAGAACAAGAAACATGAGTGCCACTTGGCTAGTTCTTAGCACACAATAGCTATTCTTCGCACACTATAGCTATTTAAGTTCTAAAGAAATCAAATTTTGATTTTTAAAATAAGTCTGCACATCAAATTGCTGCATCATGTTCACTTTATTAATATCCATTAAACTGTTATATTATTATTATTTACTAATAGTTCTTTTATTAGTTGATTTAAACTATAACTGTACGGTTAATATCTAAATTTGACAATTATGTTCTGAATTTCATAATCAATTAAGAGCATACAATATTTCAGGAGATTATAAATTAGCTGACATACAATTTTCCATAATCACTAACATTGTATTAATAATTATGTTATTATGAAAATAATGTAAACTTGAGCTTATTTCTTTAGCTTGATTGAGAATAATAACATTTTAATATTAAGTCACATGCACAGGACAGGGTTAAAACTAGTTAACTGTATAAATTACAATCCAATTGTACACATAACACCAACTGAAAGCAACTATAGCACCCATTAATGCGCAGACTAGTAGAGCTACTAGCGTTCATGCACGCACTATTTACCACTTCCCACCTGATCTTGCACGAATATTATCATACGCTCAGATGCCAACTTGTTCCTTCAAGATCAGCTTGAACCATGATGTAATAATACCATATCAAGATCATTTATATTAAAAAGTAAAAAATCATTAGTTTTAGATCCCAAGGTGTTAAGCATTAACTCTCAATCTCGCCTATAAAAAAATAACATGGTCGGCTCTATCCATTTGCTACCCATAAAAGCTCTGTAGTGCTGGACTGAATAAAACACCTTGCTTCGTTCGCGCATCCAAATCAATGCAACATCCACAAAACCAATTATAGAACGAGAATGACAAGATTATAACCTAACCCTAACCATAAAATGCCCTAGAATCCTCTAATCAGCAGCAATAGCCTCCAATTGAACAATTCAATTTTCTAATTGCAAAAATCTCATAATTCTGCAAAATATTCACTCACTTTTGACATGCTTTCCTTCTTCTATTTCAATAGTAGAACAAATTTTCAAGAATAGAACTAATAGAAAACATTAATATTTCACCAAAATTCAACCTCTCATGAAAGGGTTTCACAATTCAACATCCTATAAAAAAACCAATTTACCAAAGATCATTTTAACAAGAGGAGGAAGAGGAGGAGGGAGAAAAGGATACCTGGGGAGTGGCGTAGGTGGCCGATCTCAGGAGATGCTTCCGGCGTGCTGCAATGCCGTCGACGTTGGCGTTGGGATCGGAACTGGCGGACGCGCCGCTGGTAGCGTGGGCGGCGAGGCGGGGGGAGGGGAGGGAGGACATCAGAAGAGGAGGAGGATCGAGTATCCTCAATGAAGGTGAGGGATCGCTGGGGTCCGTGATTTCGCCGGTACGCCATTGATCATGGAGGATTTGGTTTGGGCTTGGAGGAAGATGGAGATGGAGATGGAGATGGAGGTGAGGTTTGTTGATTTCGTGGCCGTGCGAAGCCAACCGAGGAAGTGGATGCGAAATCTTGGCCGAGAAGCGCGCTGAGAACTCCAAATTCGAGAAGCGCGCCGAGAACTCCACTTCGAATTTGGGATAACGAGGGGGAGGAGATGGAGTCAGTGAGCACGGTCTTTTTGTTTTTAAAAGGGTCGGACGGTTTAATGGCAACCTTGGCTTATAATCCAAGTAATTTAGTAGTTATAATCCATTTATAACAGTAGAGTATTTGACAAACAGGTAGCTTATAAATCATCATTATATTATCAAAATGACTAAAAATCATTCAATGGAGTTAGAGAGATACATGAGCCTTGGAATTTTGTGAAATATGAGTGGCATGTTTGGTCAAAACTTGTGCTTTATAAGAGCACCTCCAAAGGGGAGGCTCCATTTTGCAGCCTCCCTAAATAATATTTCCATGCATATTCTGTTTTAGATGGGTCATTCCAACCACCCCTCTATATGAAACTCCATTTAGAAATATATATTATTAAATAATTTTGAAAATATAAAATAATAAAAAAAGTATATGAATTAATTTAAAATATAAAAATATATTATAAATTAATACTAAAATTATAATATATAATATAATCATATATTTAAATAAAATTAATTATCTTTAATGAATTGATAATAAGAAATAGATAAGAGCCTTTAAAAATAAAACCGAAGGTAAAAAAAGATAATGTGCGATTCATTTTAGAGAGAACCGAAAAATAATTGGAAACATGGTACTGGTGGAGTTGGCCCGAAAATGCAGTTCCAGAAAAAATCTTTTAAAAACCAGAAAATATAGCATAATATTTGGAACAATCTCCATAACTACTCTGAAGTCCAAGTCTCACTCCATAATGAGTTGCGGTTTGTCGAAAATGATAAAATTTTATATATTAAATTCAAAGGCATTACATAGAAAATTAAAGTACATGAAAAAAATTAAAAATCGGGTAGGTCATTTCCTCCATATCCACCTCTTCTGTAGTCAGGTATTCTGTATTGACTTCCTGCATAACTATATTCAGGATTAGGAATATCAGATGAAGAACCTCCGGTTGTGTTTCTATTTAAAATCTCTTGTTTTTTAATTCGAAAATACTCGCGTTCCGAAGGATCAGTAATAGTATCAAGATTAATTAATATAATTTTACTTTCCTCTCGTTCCCTTTTAAGATCAAATTTTTCTTATTGTTTTCGGCCCTTAACATCATCATTTGGTGCATTGTCATTCTATCATTTTATCGTTGCTCATGACTTTTTTTAAAATATCAACAATTTCTTGATTATTTTTATTGAGAGTTTCAAAGTCGAGGTTCTTTTCAATTGAATGTCGCCTCCACATCTTCTCTTTCTTCCTTCCTGTTGGCTGACTCGTTGACTTATTGTCGTCATTATGAGTATATCTCTCATTATCGTCATTTAAGTCAATGACAGGAGAACTTGAATCCGATCACTGAGATAAGCGGGACTTTGAAGTTTTAGAAATTACACGCGATCTAACACTTATATTTGCCCATTTCTCTGCATCTTTTAAAATTGACCAAACATGATCAAATAGAAACCCCTTTCTCTCATCTGGATCTTCTGCAAATACTATTCTAGCACGTTTAATCTACTACAATAGAGGAAGAAACAAGTATTAATAACATGATAATAGATGTTAATAATCAAGATTTTTGTTATTCAAATACTTACAATGTCAAGCTTAGAAGCACCGCTTGGATTTAGGAGCTCGACTTGTCGAATGCATCCTCGAAATTTACTGATGGCATTCATAATTAATTGCATTCGGTATGAGAGAGACTTTGGAGTCCTTTGAGCAGTACAAATATTAGAAATCCTTTCATGAAATAAAGCAGAAATTCGTTCCCACAGCTTGTCCTTCTTTTGATTAGAACCCATGACTGGGTCTTGAGAAATTTCGAGCCACGTAACGCATAAATTTTGATCTTCTTCTTGTAAAAAAGATTTTCCACGACTGGATGCCATAATCTAAGGAGATAAAGTTGTTAAGGATGATACTATTATGATGGAGGAATGCAAAGAGTTATGAATATAGAATAAGAAGAGTTGTGGTGGATATATGAAAATTGTGAAAGTATTTATAGAGATACTTCGGGTAGAAATCATTACTGAGGAGAAACCAATGCAAGGAGAATCCAATGTGGGGAGCCTCCAACACTAAAGAAATTCAATGTAGGGAGTCTTCAACGCCAGGAGAATCCAATATGGGGAGTCTTCAACATGAAAGGAATCCAATGTGGGGAGTCTCTAACACTGAAGGAATCCAATGTTGATAGGAATCTAATGTGGGGAGACTCTATGCTAGCAGGAATCCAGTGTAGGGAGACTCCAACACGGAGAGAATCCAATGTGGGGAGACTCCAACACGGAAGGAATCCAATATAGGGGAGAATCCAACACAGAGAGAATCCAATACTGGAGAGAATCCAATGCTGAAAAGAATCCTATGCGGGGAGAAATATTATATAATGACATTATATCCATCTCTAAACAACTCACAACTTATATTTTTATTTCTATAAACAACTTCTTCAACAATGAACTATGGAGCTGGACCGTCACATCTACCTTCTTCTTCTTCTGACGACGAAACATTTTCTCAGTATATTTAAAGATTGGGAGGAAGATATGACACAATGGGAAAAGGAAGATGAAATCTTAGCTCACGTATATGCCTCTAATAATGAAATAATGACTTATCTCTCTCAAGCGGCAGAACGGCCAAAGCTTATTGGATCAGTTTGTGGTCATTTGGTGATCAATCGCGGGAGGGAAGAAGATAATTCTTGACTCTACATTGACTATTTTTTTGATAATCCTACATATTGTGCAAATATATTCTGTAGAAGGTTCCGGATGTAAAGGAGTTTATTCCTTCATATAGTCAAGGTGGTACGTGAGCATGACAACTTCTTCATACAGAAGATGGATGGTGTCGGCAAACTTGGGCTATCAACTTTACAAAAATTAACAACAACATTTCATATGTTGGCGTATGGAACATCTGAAGATAGTATTAATGAATATGTTAGGATCGGTGAGTCAACTGTAATTGTATGTTTAAAGAGATTTTGCAGAGCAATTGTAGAAGTATATGGAGATGAATATCTGAGGACCCCCAATGTCGACGATGTTGCCAAGTTATTGCAAAAGGGAGAAGAAAGAGGCTTTTCAGGAATGTTGGGAAGTCTAGACTGTATGCATTGGCAATGGAAAAACCATCCAACAGCATGGGCAGGACAATACTTGGGACGTCATGGAGGTCCAACAATTATTCTTGAGGCAGTAGCACCATATGATCTATGGATATGGCACGCATACTTTGGCTTACCAGGATCCAATAACGATATTAATGTATTGTAGTTGTCTAATTTGTTTGACAATCTATCACAAGGTATTGCTCCTCCTGCTCATTACACAATTCAAGGAAAAAATTATAATGTCGATTATTATTTGGCCGGTGGCATATATCCGAAATGGCCAACACTTGTTCAAACCATTTCCAGTTCCGATGATAAAAAGAAACAATATTTTGCAATGATGCAAGAAGCACGTCGAAAAGATGTAGAGCAGACATTCGATGTTCTCCAATCATGATTTGCTATCATCAAAGGGTCAGCCCGTTTTGGGATAAACGAACTCTGCATGATATCATGACTGCTTGTATTATAATGCCCAATATGATTGTCGAAGAGGAACGCGATGAGTAAGAAGTTGTTGTCATTTCAATTCCACAATCAATTCCAAATGCTGAAAATATGGAGATAACCGAAACTGAACGATTCCAACAGTTCCTTGCTCGACATAAGAAGTTGAGAAAAAAAGAAGCTCGTTTTGCACTTTGAAATGCATTGATTTAACATTTGTGGGAAAGACATGGAAATGAAGTGATGTAACTTTTTTAATTAAAGTTTCGATGTATTTCAATATTAGTATGTTTATCTTCCATCTAATTTTCTGATGTAACTTTTTTAATTAAAGTTTCGATGTATTTCAATATTAGTATGTTTATCTTCCATCTAATTTTCTAATACATTTTCATTTTTAATTAATTCGATGTATTTCAATATTAGTATGTTTATCTTCCATCTAATTTTCTAATACATTTTCATTTTTAATTAATTGGTTCTTGGAATTTTACATTTCAATTAATATTATTCAATATTAGTCTTATTCTGAAGGCATCGACAAGACATTTCCAACTGTAAAATTTTTATTTAAAAATAATTAGTAGAAATAAACTTATGTTGATTTTAAATTACTCGTTACTAATTAAAAAGGATATGGAAGTAATAAGTAATTGTTTATAAATCATAAAAATGGTAAATTTGGTATTTAGGAAAAATAAACAGTTGCTTTGCAGCCAACTGTAAATTTAGGAGAGGGACTGCATATATGCAGCCTCAGTCCCTTCGGCTGCATTTTGCAGCCGGACATGCAGCCCGGTTGGACTGCGATGAGGCTGTAAAATCTATTTTGGTTGCCCCGTTGGAGTTGCTCTAAGCCACCAAAAAAATAAGCTACAACAAGCCATTTGACATGTTTGGCAAATGGCTTATTTGGGCTTATAAGCACCAGAAAATAAGCTATTGTATATTATTTTTTGGTGCTTATAAGCTCAAATAAGTCATTTGCTAAATATGTCAAAAATGGCTTATAAGCCATTTTGACCAGTTGTGAAGCATGCTTTATATACTTTGATTCTACATTTTGGATTAACTAGTGTTAATGCGTGGATCTCACTTTTTAACAACTTATTTACCTTTCTAATTTAAATTTCATCATCTTAGTTAATCTAAAATAATTGAAACATCTATAACTATTAGGATAATATGTGCGCGTTAGCTAATTCTTCACGGGCTCGCCCCATCGATGCTTTTATACTATTTCAATCAAAAGTTTCTATAATTCACTTAGAACTAAAATATATTATATAATGCATTTAATTTTAAAATAAAAACTATAACAATCTTAATATACTATACGGTTTTATAATGGAATGAAAATATCGATAAAAATTAATGTCTATTCTATATAATAAAATGCAGTAGGATGATGATATTAGGTTGATAAATTGCATAAATTACTATTGTATTGTTATGTCTAAGAATTAACTATTGAAATTATATCCCAAAAACTTGTGAGCAAATATCTATTAAATTGGAAAGGACAATTGGCATGAAAAAGACTTATCTATACTTTAACTCATTCAAAATCAGAATGTAACATTCATAACGTTTGGGCCAGCTTAATTCAGCACATGTAAATTGAGCATGTGCCAATGCATCTAGCCGGTTCACTTGAGCCAACAAACTCGTGCCTATAGGTATATGTTAAATAACACTTATGTTATTATAAACAGAGTGAAATGCATTCAATTAGTCCATATGGGACAAAAACTTGTGAAGTGTGGGACCTACCCACGTGACGTGAAGCAGCATTTGAGAATGCGGTTTTGATTATTTCCGCATGAGCCTTGAGCCTTCTTTTTGTTTCCTGGACAATAACCGGCCCATCCGAATACATATGCAACTATATATATATTGATGTTTTTGGTGTCTAGGTTTTCGTGCGAGGTGGGTTATTTTGTTTACGGCTGCAGGAAGCAAAGGCAAAGCACGGAGATTTGTTTAAAGGCTGCGGGTGTTCTTTTCGGCAAAGCAAGCAAACAGAGAAGTACAGGGGATCTTTGGTGGCTTTTGTCCAGGGAGTTTGCGGCTGTTCTGGAGGAAAGCAAACAGAGAAGTACAGGGGATCTTTGGTGGCTTTTGTCCAGGGAGTTTGCGGCTGTTCTGGAGGAAGACGCAGTCTTTTGTTTAGAGTTTGTGCATCTCCCTTTTGTAGAGAGTTTGTGAGGGATTTGAGAGTTTGTTTGAGGGTTTAGGTTGTGAGTGATTGTAAACCCTAGTTGTATTCTCTCCCTCTATTAGTAGATCTCCCCCCTCCTTGCCCCGTGGACGTAGGCAATTTGCCGAACCACGTAAAAATTGGTTGTACTGCTTTTGTGTGATTTGTAATAGCTTTTAGGATCCCTCGACAGGTCAGTCCTAGAACTGATGAGAAGAAGAGCTGATATCTCACTTGGTTAAGATATTTTGTTTAAGGTTCTTATTTTTTTTGTGAAACATGAATTCCTATTGTGACCTGACTCTCTTGTTGTGCTGTTAAAGTACTGTCGAAATTTTCGTTACGCACAACAAGTGGTATCAGAGTCCAGATTTTAGATCTAGGATTTTAGAAATAGGTGGAGGAAGATTCTTGTGTGAAGCTTGGTTCTTGGAGTTCTAGGCTTCGGTGGAGATAGCATTAGGAGTTACCGTTGGAGATTTCGCTTTCCTCGTGTAGATAGGAGATCTATTTGGAATCCGATCTAGGGTTCAGTTGGGTGGTTCCTAATTCTATCAAATTTGTTATTTCTCTACAATTTGGAGTTAGTTCGCAATGGGAGAAGAAGGTGAAAGCAGCAAATCAATGGCGAGTACAATACAAGTTGGTTTTCAAAACACCAAAATTAGTGTGGTGAAATATGACGGAAAAATCAATTTTGGTTTGTGGATGAGCGACGTACAGGATGCGTTAAATGCTCAAAATTTGGAAGAGACCATCATGGTCCACGAGAGACCACCTAAATATGAAGAGGAGATATGGGAGAAGATGAATAGGAACGCTTGTGGGGTGATCAGGTCCTGTTTGGAACAGGAGCTGAAATATGATGTGATTGGGGTGACGTCTGCAATGAAGATGTGGGAAATTCTCAACAATAAGTACCTTACGAAGAGTGTTGAGAACCGGTTGCACTTGCTGCGTAGGTTATTCAGATTCCAGATGTCCAGAGGCACCTCGCTTGCGGCTCATGTGAACAACTATACGAAGTTGTTGTCGGACTTGGCGAATGTTGATGAGAAGATATCGGATGAGTACAAGGCAATTATTTTGTTGGGCTCCTTACCGGATGAGGAGTATGATACCTTCGTGCTCACTTTGTTGAACGGGAGATCTTCTATCAGCTATAGTGAAGTGACTAACGCTTTGACGAACTACGATTTGAGGAGGAAGGATAAGGAGACTTCCCGCGCTAGTACTTCAGGAGAGGCCTTGTCGACGAGAGGTAGAAGCCCATATCCGAAAGGTGGTAACAGAGGGAGGTCAAAGTCTAGAGGCCGTCACCAACTAACAAAGAACCAATGTGCATTCTGCAAGGAGCAGGGACATTGGAAGAGAGACTGCCCGAAGCTCAAGGAGAAGGAGAATGGCAAGAAAAAGGGCCCGAAGGCCAATGAGGTGAACATTGCGAAAGGCGATGATTCCGATGATTCGTGCTTTTCTCTACTGATTACTCCGGAGGTGAACCATGTGGATGCATCAGATTGGATGCTTGATTCCGGCGCTACCTTTCATGTGACCCCTAGGCGAGACTGGTTTGCATCTTTTGAGAAAGTCGACGGGGGCGTTGTTGTCATGGGAAATGATCAATCCTGTGGCGTTTGTGGGATAGGTACCGTGCGGATTAGGATGCACGATGGAGTAATCCGTGAGTTGAAGGAGGTGAGATTTGTTCCTCAACTGAAGAAAAATCTTATCTCAGTTGGAGCTTTGGAGGCGAAGGGATTCAAGGTGACTTTCGAAAACGCTGTAGCGAAGGTTACTAAGGGATCATTGGTGGTGATGAGGGGAGTCCGCAATCGGAATTTGTATTATCTGAAGGGAAGCACCGAGATTGGCCAGGTTGCTTCGGCTATTTCAGAAGCGGACATGAGCAGACTTTGGCACTATAGATTGGGGCACACAGGTGAAAAGTCACTGCAGACATTGTGCAAGCAGGGGCTATTGAAGGGAGCCAAGAGTGGGAAGATTGAGTTCTGTGAGCACTGTGTTCTTGGCAAGAAGACGAAGGTGAAGTTCGGGACTGCCATTCATCAGACGAGGGGCATCCTGGATTACGTGCACACAGACGTTTGGGGTCCCACCAAGACTGCATCACTTGGTGGTCGACATTGGTTCGTCACTTTTGTAGATGACTATTCTAGGCGTTGTTGGGTGTACACCATGACGAAGAAGAGTGAAGTCCTAGATTTGTTTGTGGAGTGGAAGAAGAGATTGGAACTGCAGACTGGGAGAAAGATCAAGACGTTGCGATCCGACAACGGTGGTGAGTATACTTCTGACCCCTTTCAGCAGCTATGTCGAGACGAGGGCATAGAGAGACACTTCACAGTTAGTCATACACCGCAGCAAAATGGGGTGGCAGAGAGGTTGAATCGGTCTTTACTGGAGAAGATCCGATGCTTATTGTCGCAGAGTGGTTTGGAGAAGATCTTTTGGGCTGAGGCACTTACATATGCGAGCCACCTCATTAATAGGCT